TATTTTCACAGAGTTGCTGCATTGATAGTAAATCACCCCAGAAGAACAGCAACACATTCCTGCTAAGACCAGAAGACAGACCTGAAGCTGTAATGATAAATAGATACAATTATTACAGATTGACTGTCTTTGATCCATATTTACTGTCATCACTTTCATTCTCGATATTGAGTGGCGCCATCTGGTGGGTTTTGAATAGCAGCATCTAAAACAGCATTACAGCACAATGCAACAGGTTATTTCAAGACTAAGAGTCGTGTGACATAATGTGAAAATTGTGTAATTTGATATGAAGGAGATATAGATGATCTCAGTTATTTTTTAATACTGACACGTTTCATTTATTGGCTCGATTTAACTAAATATTCAACCGTATTTTAACATCCTCAAAGGAACATGCTTTGAATTACCAAAGTATACCCATTAATGACAGAAACACTAAAGCACTTATTATATATATATATATATATATATATATATATATATATATATATATATATATATATATATATATATATATATATATATATATATATAAAACTGTGAAATATTTTTTTTCTACATAAAGATTGTGAGTAGGGAAATATGTCTGGAATCATAATGTAACATACAAACAAATAAAAAGAACATTATGATTCACACATTCACTCATCAGACAAACTTAAATTAATCTAATGGATGATCTTGTGCAATTTAACGAACGTCATATAAACCACATCCTGATTCACACCCCCATTCAATCAGATAGTATTCACAGCATATTTTCAATAAACCACAATAACAACAATTTCTCGGGCTTCAGCTGTTTTTGCGTGTTCTTGTGTTCAGGACTATTATTTTGAAGTTTCTCAAGGACTTTTAGTTTGAAATCTCTCTCTCTTCCTGTTAATCTGTTCCTTTATTACCTTTTTCACTCACTGGTGTCTTGGTTATTCTGTGTGTAAATATAGTCCTGTAGTTTATTTGAGCACCTGTGTCACAGGGTGTTTATTTTATTTTATTTACCCAATTTGATAAATGCCACTTGAACTAAATGCTTCAACTCTCTCCTTCCAACCAAGCTCTGATTGTTGTTTTTCCACAGGTGGACATTTTAAAGAAAGGACATTTAAACTGCTCAAAAGTTTTACAGTCTAAACTTTTGAGCAGTTAAATGTGATAATTGTGTTACTGTTTCTCTCCATGTGTCAAACAGTTGCACATCTTCCTGTTTGTTTTTTTCTCCAGTAGATTAAAGTGTCTAAATCTGATAATAGCAGCAGGACGGGAAGAAGCTCTTCAAGTACAAGTTAAAAACCCACATGCACTGAAAGCACATTCTCACCTGCAAGATGTTTGTCCACCCAACAGACAAAACCACATTTCTGTAGAAAAGCGACCGCAGCAGTTTCAGTCTGACTCAGAAGATGAACTTCAGTAAAACTGGCACTGTGAGGTGGCAGACGATTTTATCTATGTACTTTGGGTTTTTCCATTCACTCAAAATTTGGAAAACATATACATCCTTTTAAAATCACTAGTTAGGCTTTATGGCATTTCCAGAAAAGTTGCAAATACAGTTAAGAGTCTGTGATTTGTTAATTAAGTCAGAGATCAAGTGTGATGATTTTAGTCAAATTTAATTTTTTTAACAGCAGACAATTAAATAATAAATGATTAGTAAAGTGAACTCATCCATAAGCAGGATTAAACGTTAAATAAAGAAACAGTTGAAATTACTTTTCAGTTCCTCTTTCCTCTAATATTGAGCGGGCACTAAAGACACATATCCAGTTTTCATGTTTTCACACTCTGAGGTGTTGGCCCGTACACTGCAAGGTGTTCAGCTAACACTCGTTTACCACTTTCTTGAGATATTAGAGCATTTGTGGTTTACCTATCGGAAACTTACAGTATTTTGACCTCATCTAAACATCGAGTACAAAAGTTCACTCTCAATCAGCTACATTTGAGGCATAAAGATTAATAAGAGAAAAGTATTAAACATACATTTCAAATTATAATAATGGTAAACACATCAAAATGATAGTAATGAGAAACACATCAACATGATGATATTTCTTAAAATATGATATTTGATTAAATGATAAAACATAAGCAAATGATAAAACACAAGCAAGAAATATATATATATATATATATATATATATTTTTTTTTTCTGATTCATCAGCCTTCATTTAACTGACAAAAATACAAAGAAAAGATTTCCAGTGCTTTCATCGACCAACTTAATATTCATTTTGTAAATATGAACACATTTTGATTTTGATGGCTGCAACACACTCCCAAAAAAAGTAAGGACACACGCACGTTTACCACTGCGTCACATCACCTTTCCTTGAGTAACAGAGATTCACGTGTCATTAGTTGCTGAATTAGCAGATCAGGGGTCAAAGGTCACGCACATTCAACAGAGGTCTCCTGCCTTACACTACACGGACTGAGATGTATCTGGATTCCCTGAATCTTTTCACAGTATTATGTATGGAAGATGGTGAAACACCTGAATAATCCTGCATTGAGAAATGTGATTTTTGAATTGTTTGAGAATTCTCTCATGATATTTGGCACAAAGGGGTGAACCATGACCCATTGTTGGCGGATGCTTCTTTTTATAACCAAATATGATACCCTCACCTATTAGCAGTTCACCTACTTATTGTGGGCTGTTTCAAAACAGATGAACTCGTATGTTCTATAATCTTTTCTCTTTTATTTCGCTTCTGTCCTAACTTTATTTGAAGCGCGTGCAACCATCAAAATCCAAATTTGTTTATGTTTACAAAATACACATAAGTTGGTCAGTGAACACATTGACCAACTCTTTTCTTTGTACTTTGTACTTAATCGACTCTTTGTGAATTAAACGTGAAGTAAAAATGTCCCAACTTTTCTGAAAATGGTGTTGTTCATCCACAATTCAACAATATTTTTTTTACTTTTATTGTTTTGAAAGTGTACCGCCCCAGTGACAGCTTTTATACCTCTTTTTTTGAGTGAGTACCTTACAAAAAGCAAGTTCAATGACAAAAATAAGGAATATTTCACACATTAAGAACAGTTAAAGTCTTAATATCAGCAAGATGAACTATAGTATATTACACAAATGCAGGTTTGTGAAAGTAGGAGGGTCAAACTGTTTTGTGGGAGGATTCACACATCACATCAACACTTCTGCTGTATGTTTAGCAGAAAGTTTTATTAGATCAGACTCAAAACTATAGAACATGTTTCACATGTTTGTTTTCTGTTTATGCTGGTGGAATCTGATCGGTGAGTTATTAAAACATTTTCATGGCTTACTTTTTTTTTTCATTTCAGAGCAAAACGTTTCAACTGAGATTATTTCCATCTGCTGTTATGTATCTATGAATCATGAATATTGTGAAATCAACTTTGTATTCAGTATCTGTTCGAATTTTAAACGGAAATAAAATGTTGAATCATAGAAAATAATGGAAATCTCTACAGTGAATGCAAATGCTCTGGAGGGTCAGAAAGAAAAAAACTTAATTAAGTAGCTTTCAAATTTAAGGCCTTTTTTATTTTATTTAAAAACAAAAAAGGATTCATGAAAATATCCAGCACAATTAAACTTGTACTTTCAATCTGCAATGCTTATCATGCTTTTATTTTCAATAAATGATTGAACTTTATACATTGTTTTTCCTCCAAAACAAACTAAAGATTAAGGATGTGTTGTATCATAAGAATTAATCTTAAATCAAGATTTAGTTAATAAATCTGTAGCATCAAACTTTAAACTTTTAAATAAGCTGATTTACATTTAAACCACAAATTTGACTCTGGTGTGCATTTAAAAATTTACAAATGCACAACAGCACAAGTAGCTAAACTCCTTAAGGATGTTGCGTGACTGCACACATTGTTGCTGTTTTTGGAAATCTGTTTGCTTTGAGTTCATATCTGGAATAATGCATTTATGGTTTTAGCGTATTAAATAGAATGGAATATTTAGTATGAAAGTCCAATTATTATTACTGCTTGTTGGGTCATGTGCTTGTTTAAAATTGACATTTATAACAGTAATAATAATAACAATAATTATTGCATAAGAAAAGTAGCATTAAGCTATCATCTCTCCTTTTTTCATAAATGATGCGGCCATATTACTCCATTAACTGCTACATTAAATATATTTTTAGGCAATCCATGCTTGCTTGGGCAATGTTTTCTCTGTCTGCTTGATCAGTTGGCAGTTTACAGAAGCGGTTTATGAATACAGTTGACATTACACAAAAAAAATGTTTCTGAGTCAAAGGAATGTCCATATTGCAGTGACACAGCTATGATATTAACATTTAATTTAATCCGTATTGTTCTTTGTGTTTCGCGTTTCTGCTGCTGAACTGGATGTTCTCAACTTCACATGTAAATTATAAAATCTTCAGCTGATTTCAGGCTTTGTAACCATCAAGAGTATTCATCTGTGTAAAATCAGTTTGTTCATCAGGTGTGTTTGCTGATTCAGTGTCAGTGATGGAGGGAGATTCTGTTACTCTAAACGCTGATGTTACTGAAATACATGAAAACAACGACATACTGTGGAAATTTGGAGCTGAAAAGTCTCTCATAGCTAAAATGAACAAAAAGAAGCAAATCTTCTCCACATTTGATGTTCCTGATGGGAGATTCAGAGACAGACTGAAGCTGGACGATCAAACTGGATCGCTGACCATCACAAACACCACAACTGAACATACTGGAGTTTATCAACTAGAGATAACTGGAGCGAAAAAATCATCAAAAACATTAAATGTTTCTGTCTATGGTGAGTAGAGACGTAATTTATCTAAACATTTACTTATTCTATTTACATACATTCATACATTAAATAATTGTATAGTTTGAGCTGACAGACACATTCAGTGACCGTTAACGCACTAAACACTCACTCAACACAAAACTACAATTCACAACACCTAAAATATACTGACTGTTGTGTTCACATTTCTGTTTATTCTCTCATGTTTTACAGCTCGTCTGCCTGTTCCTGTCATCATCAGTAACTCTTCACAATGTTCTTCATCATCATCAAATTGTTCACTGGTGTGTTCATCAGTGTTGAATGTGTGTGATGCGACTCTCTCCTGGTACGCAGGAATGAGTGTATTGTCCAGCATCAGTGTGTGTGATCTCAGCATCAGTCTCTCTCTACCTCTGGAGGTGGAATATCAGGATAAAAACACCTACAGCTGTGTGCTGAACAATCCCATCAGCAACCAGACCACACATCTGGACATCAACACACTCTGTCACACATGTGCAGGTACAGCAGCACTGATGATATATGTGTGTGTTTACTGACCTGATCTCTGTCTTCTGTTGTAGATCAGACTGATGCGTTCACTCACATTAATGACTGTCTCTCTTTTCCTCTCCTTCAGTTCCTCCAGTCTCAGTGTCTCTGATAGTGTTGATCTCTGCTGGATCTCTGATGATTGTTGCTGGATTTTGGATCTTCTGGATCTGCAGGAAACGTAGAACAATTGACAAAGAAGGCAAGTATTACCGCTTTTAAATAAGTAATACAACAAATGATATTTTGAAAATATGCTATAAACCAGTCAACTGATTTGATCATTTAATTAAAATGATTCTCATAGTTTTGTTGTTAAACTTTATACAAAACCAAACTAATATGTGTAGTTATTCTCTGTAGATTACACTCATTTCATAATGCATCTCTATTTCTATATAATGACAACAAATGTCGCTCGTCTCACTCGCAAAAAAAAAAAAAACAGATTCTGCCTTTCTCAAACAGAATAAACTGTGGAAATGTAAAAAATGTTTATTTTTAATTCAAAAACTTAAAAAAGCTTTCTCAATTTTATGATCTTAAAATCTAAATGAATGATGACTTTTATTGTGCTTGTTTTGATTAAATACAAAGAATGTAAAATACTTTTGTGAAAGATCCCATTTGGTTTGAGTTATGTGTAAAGAATATCCCTCTAAATTTTATGAGGATCACACATTTTTTTAAAGTAACCTTTTGTGTGTGGAAAAAGTTATAGGCCTAATGGTAAATGCAATTTGTTAATGCCATTTTTAAAAACTGCAGTGTTAAACATTTATTTATTTAAGTTTGAAAGCCCTAATAATAACATAAATATTGTGAAGAACCATCTTTTTAAGATTGAATTTTGTGACTTTAATGCATCTATTCTTGTTCAAACAGAGACTCGTGAAGAAGAGATCATTTACGCTGAGACAACATTCGACAAAAGAAGCGCACAGAAATCGGTGAGACAACTGTTAATTTGTTGAGTATTTTTATAATTGCAGATGCAGATCAGTGTGCTTGTGTTTTTGACTGTATAATATAGCCCATTTCCACCATATAAGAAAAACAAAAATCCTGATCTGGTAATTCATAATTATGACAATAAATAAATAAATTATGACAAAAAAAATATTATCACGTACTAAATCGAAATTGTGATATGAAAAAGTCTAAATTATGACTTAAGTTAACAAAAACTTTTTGTCAAGATTACAGTATGACAGTAGACATAAGACTTAGTATTTCATCATTTAGAATTATTAATGTCATAATTTTTTTTGTATGCAACAATTTTAATTTATTATGTCTTAACTATGATTTACCAGAGCATTTTTTGTTTATGTGTTGGAAATGGGCTTCCATATTATAATGATCTATCACATAAATCTCAAACACAACAGCACCATCAGATGTTTAGAAAATGTTTATATCTTGTTACTTTGAAAAAAAACATATCACATTTATTATTATTATTATATCTTGTCTAATGCATCTTTTTACAGAAAGTTGAAGAGGACGATTGTGTGGATTATGCACCGATCGCAATGAGAAGATGATCGAACTTCAGTCTTTTTCTGAGTACAAGACCCAGATCGTCGCCCCTACCGTCGCATTGCGCCGGGTGTATGATAGGGCCCCTAGTCAAGGGTTAAGATTTAGGATTTGGGATGTTTCATCAGGAAATCACAGCGGACATGCAGCAGGATCATCCTGAAGGGGTTTGAATAATAACTAACAATGGATAAATTAAAAAAATCTCATAAAAACGTCAAAGGTGGAGGGTCGTTTTGTGTTACTGCTCCTATGGAACTCACTACCCCTCACTCTCCATAACATTTTGTCTACTTTCAAGACTGAGCTAAAAACATATCTGTGTATGTATTTTCAATAATGTGGCTGCATGTGGCCTTATGTGTGTGCATTATATGCATATTCGTAAAGTACTATGTAAAGCAACCTTGAGCAGTGTAAAGGCGCTATATAAATTAAACTTAACCTTGAAACGCAAGAACTTTTAACAAATTATGTTATAAGTATCCATTAGAGTGTTTTCATTTTTTACTCTTACAGTGCAAAAAGTAGATTAATCTACAGGAACGGACACCTTGCTGTGGTCTAAATTATGTAGGTCAGTACAGAAATGTGGTTTGATCTGTTGGGTAGGAGAACAGCTTGTGCATGAACACATTTCTGCTGCTGGACGTGTGTGTTTGATGTCAGTTTGTAATTGTCTCTCACTCTGAGATGTGAAAAGTGTGTGTGTGTGAATAGCATGTGGTTGAATGTGTTTTTTTCCATTTGCTGCTCACGTGAAACCATTTGACTTCTGCTCAACAGAGAAGCCAATTTACAACACACTGGTGATACTGAACCCATCAATGCTGATGTTTGACAAAAAGGTCTTAAATCAAACAGATATTGAAATATGAAAATATATACCTTGTGTGCATATGCATCATGATCTTATATACTCATGCAGTGATTGTGCAGTTTAGCAGTGCTAGTTTCAGTTGTTTTCCAGCTGTAACACTTCCTTCTAAGAAGAACTATTCTCTCATCCTGTTGTTTTTTTTTGCCAATGTTTTGGTCATTATTTTAAGAATAAATGCAAGGTATGATTTACAATTTATGTTTGATGTTTGTTAATAATTTACTTGTTTTTCATCAGTTTTTAGGAGAAACCAACTAACACTGCCAACACTTTTTTTTAGAAGCATAACGGCCCCTGTCCACATGTGGTAAACACTGTACAAAAAACACTGTACATGTAAAACAAATAAGGTCAAATCTTAGATAAAAAAAGTTTTGTTTGATGACACTGGTGGGTGTGGCCACACGTCAAAGCAGGACTCACTCAAGGCGAAGCATAGAAAAACCCTTTGAGGTTCAAATATTCATTTCTAACTTAAATACAAAATGTAAAATGTACATAACACTGCAAAGAATAAAATGTTAAAAAATGTGTTGTTTTTTGTAAGCTGTTTAAATATTGCTGGCCCACTTTGGCTGAATGTGTTTGATAAAGTGGGCGACCTTTAACCTCAAACTCATTAAATAAATGGACATTTACTGGTCATTCAGATTTTATTTTGTTAGCCTATTTGTTGTTGTATATATGTTGTACTCACTTTTAATGTTGTATAGATCTTTTTCATCCCTATTCTATGGTTCAAATCCCATCAAATTTAATGTCAACATTTTTTGCTTCATTTAGTTTTGCATTTTACATATGAATTGAGTGATCCGATGAATTTTACTCATTGCCTAGGTTATTTGTTTTTGGGTTTGTTATGTTTTTGTATATGTTTGTTTATTTTTACAAATTATGTTTTTAATTGCAGGTAATTCACTGATGAAACATCTGCTATAATACTATAAATAAATAGTTTTAAATGTAGAAATAGGCCTTTTCCTATGCATAATGGTGTAGTTAAGTATAGAGCGCCATCTAGTGTTCAAAATAAGACTTTACATCTGGAACAATAATACTAGGCTTCTTTCGGTGTTTGTTTATCGGTCCAACGAGCCGACCTCAAGTCTCTGTGGTCTTCTGTCTCTATATGGCTCAGGTCCCTCCTTTAATGCAAGTCTGTGTGATTTTTTTGTGTAAATAATAAAAAAAGTGAAAATTATGGTACACACAATGGGTGATAAAAAATACATACCGTAGTTCCTCAAATAAAGACCGGGGCCTTTATTTACCTGAACTACATAAGGTAACAGGCTTTTATTTGAAGCAGGCTTTTATTAGAGGCAGGCCTTTATTTCTACTTCCATCTTTTTGATAAATAATAGGATTTGGCCGATGGACGATGCAATCATCAATTGCGATGGATGGCTGACAGACATCACTATGTTAAGACGGCATCTGTTTCCATGGTGACGCGTCATGCTTGGCACGTACGTGATTCACCACAGCCAAAATAGCGCTGTATGACAGATGTAGCACTTGTATTTCTAAATATTAACAAACTTGCTTACTTACTATGTCATCAACTATCTTCTATTCCGATTCTCAAATACATGCAAGTGAGTTTGTTTTGTCGTTTAAAAAACCTTTATAAATTATCTTGATATGTAAAGTGAGATTAGAGATTCAGTTCAGAGATTCCTGTCTGTTGGATTTATTACAGCACGTGAATTCATCAGTTTCTCCCGAAATACATGAAAGTAAGTGCCCGGTGAACTGGGAGAAGAATAGAGTAAACTTTATAGTTACTTACACTGTGTATCTGATATGAATAAAACACCTCGGCCTCATATCTGATATGAATAACACCTCACCTCATATCTGATATGAATAAAACACCACCTAAAATACACCATTGTGTATTTTACAAACTATAAATGTATTGTTTTGCTATAAATTATATGTATGTAAATATCTGAAACCTAAAATAAACATTATGTGGTTAAAAGCACTGGATAGTTGTGATATGGTAAGACCAGCGCTGAAAGTCCGTCTTTAGCTCAGCGCCAGCCATAGCGCGAAAGCACAGTTTGAATTTGGCAGTGATGTCACGTCACTGTACATCGGCTCCAGTGCTCAGCTGCTGCAGAGCGTGCCAAAATCGAAATTGCTGATGAGATGTAGAGGAAAATATCTAGTGGAAAATGAGTATGTTAAGTTATGTCATTATATGAAAGGCACTTAGGAGATTAGCCTACCTATCAACACTAAATTTTCCCCAGCCTTAATTTAAGACCGGCCTTTATTTGTCAGTGTTGACCCGCCCCCGGCCACTATCAGAGGCCCGGCGTTTAATTGACTACCGGTTTTTATTTGAGGAATTATGGTAGTATGCATAGTACAAGCCATATGCATACAGCATGATCTAGTATCACAACCAGGAATCAGCTCCACCATCTAATATATGTATATTAAATAAAAAGCTTTTAATAATAGGCCTACAAGTTGCTGACTGGCAGACTGGCAACTGGGAGAAAGTGGACATCGACTGAGGCCGTAGAGTAAGCAAAATCTGCTCTCAGCCATGGAAACATTGTAGGACAGATCCAGCAGGGAAGAGGCGGTTTTGGACTCGGGACAAGCCGACCCATATGATACAAGGCAACATCTGCCCAGAGAAGAAAGCTGGTAGTAGCCAAGGTCCGGCAGCAAGAGGAGGAAGAGAGATGCACAAAGGCAGTCTCGCAGTCCAAACAGGGACAGAGGAATAACTGGGAAAACCTGGAGAAACGTAAGCTCACCTGGAAGGATCTTTGGGAGA